AGCCAAGCAAGGTATTTGAAAACACATATTAGAATACACATTGGAGAAAAGCTTCACACGTGTGAAATTTGTTTTAAGCAGTTTTCCCGGGTAGAGTATGTGAGACAACATATGAAAATACACACCGGAAAAAAAACTTACAAGTGTAAAATTTGTTTTAAACAGTTTGGCGCAGCATGTCGTTTGAAAAGACATTTGAGATCTCATAGTGGAGAAAAACCTTATAAGTGTGAAATTTGTTTTAAGCAGTATAGTGAAGCAGGGACTTTGACTATACATTTAAGAACGCACACTGGAGAAAATTACAAGTGCGAAATTTGTTTTAAGCGGTTTAGCCAAAAAGGTTCATTGAAAATACATATGAGAGTGCACACTGGAGAAAAACCTTACAAGTGTGAAATTTGTTTAAAACAATTTACTACAGGAAGTCAGTTAAACAAACATTTGAGAATGCATACTGGAGAAAAACCTTACAAGTGTGAAATTTGTTTTAAGCAGTTTGGTGAAGCAGGTGGTTTGAAAAAACATTTACGAGTGCACACTGGTGAAAAGCCTTACAAGTGTAAAATTTGTTTAAAGCAGTTTAGCGAATCAGGAACTTTGAAACGACATTTGAGATCGCATACTGAAGAAAATTAAAAGTATGATATAGCAATTTAGCTAAAAGAGTACTTTGAAAAGACATATGAGAATACACACTTGCGAAAAACAACGCAAGTGTGAAATTTTTTCTAAGCAGTTTAAGAGATTGTTTAACTAAAGATATGAAAGGTTATATCGGAGAAAAACCTTACAACTCTGGAACTTGTTTAAAGTACTTTGTTACAGCCTTGTAACATATCGCCAAAACATATTTCTCTCTTAGTACAGGACTAATATATTTCTTTATTGAATAATACCTAGCACTACTCTAGAAAAAATTTCGGACCTCACCATGACATCACCACAAACCAGTATAAGATCAGAAGCAATATCGAATTAAAAGCACTTTACAACGGCGCCGATATTTTCCAAGAAATTAAATCACAGCGACTAAGATGGGCAGGCCACGTGCACAGACTGCATAACGAAAGACTTGTATGGGAGGAGATTCCTACAGGCAAAAGACCACTCGGACTTCCCAGAATGCGATGGAGAGATAACATCCAAGCAGATCTCCGGAAAATGAACATTCCATTTGACCCTAGGTTGATGGAAGACCGAACAAATTGGAAAAAAGTTGTACAGTCAGCCAAGACCCACCCAGGGTTGTAGCGCTACTTGATGATGATGATGCACGCCATCGGCGTCGTAGCCCGTGACGTCACATGATACCAACACGAAATATTTAGGCGATAAGTGTGTTCTTTTTTAGAATCAGTTTGCCGAGTACACTGGCATTACAGCCACTAGACATACTTTATTATATATGCGTAGAAATAATATTTAAAAATATCTATTAATGTTAACTTAAAGAAATATACAATAATATGTTTCATTTAATTTGTATAAATGCAGTATAAAGCGTTTTTATGAAGAACATTTGTTCGGAAGACCTTTAACTAATCGAAATAAGGTGAAATTTTGGCATAAATTGGTAACACTTATTTGACAGTTGCGGTGTTGTCACTTTTTGTACTTTATTATTTTGAATTTTAAAGTGAATACCTCTTGTTTTATATTTTTACCTATTTAATAAAATCTGTTTTTGTAGAACAAAATTAGTGTGTTTTATTTAAAAAATGTCACGTAAGAATTTAAATAGTTGTTGTAAAGAGATGGTAATACATTTGCAACAATTATGTGACGTATTTGATTTAAAATGGAGTCAGGTTTTTTTTATACTTTGGCAGCTATGTCAACTTCGATCTCTGGCGTAGATAATGACGTGCATCGTTATGTAAATTAGATGAAGTATACATATTTATTTTTAAATGAATTTACTATTAAAAGAGTAGAAAAATAGTTTGTTAAATGTTTCATAAATCTCTCCAATTGTTTTTGTAGTATCCGCATTTATTAAAATAAATGATCATTACTAATTTAAGGACCTTATTAGTTTTCTCTCTTACATATCACTGGTTTTCTCAAACACGTGTACATGACATTTATATGAAGTTAGTCATAAACTTCTACTCGGTAGAGGTGGGAGATTACCATCGAGCAAAAATCTTTTTGCTCGATGGAGATTACGTACTTGATATAACTGTTACAGGGTGTATACATTAAATCCCCCCTCACTAAGATCCTAAATATCAAAAAATCTTAATATTAGCTACATATTTAAAAGATTAAAATTGGGCGACTGCCACCCTCCTATTGATTGTGATGCCATATCTTTATTTGTTGAAAAGACCGCACTATATTTGCGCAACTGGTTCCAAGACGTGAGGGGAATTTGATTTGCATTGGATTTGTAAAATCTAACGGAGATGGGGAGTGAGGAGCAGGGGATTTCAAACTGAGAAGACGTTTGGCGACTTTGAATCAACAGTCGATATTTTTGTGTAATGTCTTAAATTCAAAACCAGTGAAAGGTTATGATTTACTCTTTGTAATATTGCATTTTAGAACAGAGTAACCATATTTCTTGATTTTAAAAATTAGGCCTCTGTGTCAAATCTTATCAAAGGTTTGACTAACACCTAGAAAAGTAGTGTTTGCTTTCCATTGCAGAATTTATGATGTGTACTATTATGAACCTGCTGTATTGTCGAGTGTTTTTTTTTTTTTCGAAAGCTAAATTGGTGGTTGTGTATCCATTTCTCCGTATTGGGGTCTGAGTTAATTTCACAGAGTAACAGTCACCTTTTAAGTATGTTGGATACTAGACTGGTAGTAGGCTTATTGGCCTATATGATGAAACCTCATTTGGATTTTTTCCTGCTTTTGGGATTAATATTATTTCAACGGTTTTAAAGAGCTTGGGCCAGTAGTTTAATCGTAGAATAGCATTGAAGATAAGAGTAATCAGAATGATTCCTTTATCTGCTAGTTCCTTCATCATCTTAGGTGTTATTTTGTCCAGCCCAGGAACTTTTCTAATGTTTAAATATTGGATTTCTTGTTGAACTTCATTTTTGTTTAATGGTCTGATTGCTGGTATGTTCCCTGGAATGTTATTTATGTCCCTTTCAATTTCAATATCTGGGGCGTCGTTGTTAGGAGTAAATACTTGAGCTAGGTGCTCGGCAAATAGCGTTGTTTTTTCTTCATCACTTCTGTTCCATTGTAGTGTTAGTCCCTGTTCGTTTCTAATTGTACCTGAGTCTTGGTGTTTTTTTGGAGTTTTTGATCGGTTTCCATATTGAGTTATAGTACCGGTTTAGATTTGTTATGTAATTTGTAAATGACAGTTCTTCTGCCTCTTTAAGTTTGGATTTTAGTTGATTGCTTAGCCTGTTGAATGTAGTCTTGTCTGTTGGGGTATGGGTTTGGTGCCATTTGGTCCTAGCTTTCCTTTTTTGAGCTACCAACTTTTTAATTTCAGCTGGGATGTATTGGGCTTTGCTACCTGTATTGTTCGCAGTTGTAGCATTTTGTACGGTCTCTATAAGAGTGTTGTTAAAGCCTTTAATGTTTTGTCTATCTCTCTTGTTGTGTTGAGGCTTACTTGTAAAATAATTTTCTAATTTGCTGTGGTATTTTTCCCAGTTAGTTCTCTCAGTGTGTAGCCTTGGTGTGGCCGTTTAGTAGACTATAAAGCTGCTGATGGTTGCTATAATTGGGGAGGGGTTATATGAGAGATCATAGTTCGGCATGACCTCCATGTAACCAGGAGAGATGCCCCGAGTGATAAATAGATCCAGCAGATCAGGTGTTTTGTTTGGATCCGTTGGCCAGTATGTAGGAGAGCCTGTTGACAAATGGTGATAGTTGTTTTGATGTAGGTATTGGTCTTACTAGTTCTCTGCTTTAGTTGTTGTGAGACGAGATCCAAATAATATATGTTTGCTGTTGAAGTCTCCCCCGTTCCTCTAACTAAATCATTTATTTTTTCATTCCAACAGGGCAGAGTTCTCGCGTTCTTTGTATTTCTGTGAATAAATCGCTATTTTTAAAGACGATTTAACTATCAGCGAAAAGATCTTTTAATCAGTCGTTACCTATTCGTACATGTGGCGCAGAGATACTTACTCTCACGAGGACATCTGTACGTAAATTACAGGTGACGCAACGTAGAATGTAAAGATCATTGCTAGGCATAACGTTCAGACATAAGTTGAGAATCGAAGAAATCCATAGAAAAAGTGGTGTCGAGAACATTATAAAACGCTAAAATTAAATGGAAGTGGACAGAACACATCGCTGGAGTGAAGTATAATAGATGGACCATAAACGAAGCACGGGCAGACCATCTACGAGATGGGTTAACGACATAAAGAGGATATTGGATTTCCACAGCGTAAGATAGATCTGAATGAATTTTTTAGAGAAGGCCCCTGTTCAGCAGTGGATGATTATTAGCTGATGATGTTATAGTTTTATTATTAACTTTCCATCTTTTAATCGGTTTATTATTTATTTGCCGTCAATTGGGAGATAATTGCAGATGTTTTACTTTCTATAATTACCAATTAAGTAAGCTTTTTGCAAAATATTACAAAACAAATTGACCTGACATAAAAAACTTTTTGTAAAAAAATGTTTTTTTTTTTCAATTTTATAATGTATGTCCCCAGTTATTGATCCGCCGCTGCTATTCTGTAACTAGTGTCACAGAATACTAATCACAACTTAGTATTCTGTCAATTCTGTGGTAGTGTAGTCTGTGTCACAGAATAATAAACAATCAGAAGGGCCACTCTCAGATGCCGCCTTTGAAGTTTTTCAGCACGCGCGCCATGTTTTAGGAGGACACAAACATATGATTTGTGAGATTATGCAATTGTTTACATTTATGTTTAATTATATTATATTTAAAACTGTTAATATAATTGTATAGTATGTCTATGATTGCCGTAAGTCAAATAAACCTGGTTTTTTTTCCATGCACACCACATAAACAACACTGGTTCGCTTTAAAATCCTCGTAAAACATGGCGGAACGTCTGCGCGAAGGAGATGCGCGTACTTAATTTTCCGTGGAGAGTGGGCATTCTGTTTGTTTATTATTCTGTGTATTGTCATTGTCAACTGTCAAAACGTGTAATCAGTAATCACACAAGAAAATATTGTAAATTACTGAGTTTTTTTTCTGTATTAAATTATATTAATTCCAGTCAAATGGAGAAAGAAATAAAAAATGAAATTTATGATACACCTGTCGAAATAAAAATGGAATGTAATCAAATTCCCAATTTGACTATAAAAACTGAAATCAAAGAAGAGGTTCCAGACTTATATTTTTGTAATTATGATAATTATGCAAGTCAAATAAAAACGGAATTAGACGTGAAAGTTGAACAAAATCAAAGTGGCAATGTTAATACGTTGGAAGAAAATTCCAGAGATCACCATGGTATGTATAATTTCATATTTAATACACATTAGTATTTCTGTGTTTTTTATGCAATACCTAGTTAGGTACAAGTGATTAAAATTCAAGCAAGTAATAGTACTAATGACTATATAATGTTTGGTATATGCAGTGATGGAACAAGATTTTACTTCTGTTCCATCAACACCAGGAAGCACACATTTAATACTTGCATTTAATAAAATTAGAGATCAATCCCACTCATGCACCATATTCTTTTGTAAAAAATAAAATATTTTAACTTTTAATACTTTTTAATAACTGAAAATTTTTATAACTACTAAACTATAAAGTGACATTCAGGTGTTACAATTCAGTGAGCTTGTTGAATGCTTATGTGAGTGTGTTGTCTTCTTTTGAAGTTTTTTTTTGTCTTAATATCTCTCACATAATATGGTTTGGATGGTATTCTAGCGAATGTTTTTTTTTTCTTCCATCTTATCTATTGCCCTTGTTTGTTTTAGATCTCTGAATAAGTACTCTTTGTTGTATGCTGCTTGCATCTTCTTTTTGTTGCTATAACTTATGCCCCCTTAAAAGTGAGGCATATTTCTTCCATAGGGGAAAAACAACTTTCAATTATAACAGCACCTCACTATTTTTTGAAATAACCTTTTTTGGAAACAATTTTAAAAAATGAGTGGAGTTGAAGCTGAAATGTCAAACAGCAGTTGTAAAATCTAATTTTCATTACAATCACTTGTGGCTTAATACCATATAAACATAACATTTAACTTAGATAAACCACAAAAGCCAATCATCATTCAAGTTCACTGTGAATCAAGTTGACTGATTTTTACATTAAATATATCTACATGACTCTATTGAGTCTATTAAATACTTCATTACAATTTTTTAACATATTATTTACTGGTGACATATTTCTCTAGGAATTTGTAAAAAATAGATCCAGGTTGCTCATTCTTAACCTACTCTTAGATACTCCAAAGTAAATAAACTCAATTAAATCACATTCTGTGTATTTAATTCTGTTAACAATTAAGTATACACATAATGACCAGACTGTTTCTTCTAGTGGCAAGTGGCTACAACTGAAATGAATCTAAAATAACCCTGTATGAGACCATATGGATATTCCTTATTTTTCCTTACATATAAAAATCTTAAAAATCATTTTTTAACTTTTTCAATCATTCCTGAGTTTAAAAATGCAGAGGGAGACCAGATATTTGAAACATATTCCATATGTGGTCTCATCAGGGCATGATAGTTTTATAATTGGGCTTATTCTGAAGTTATTGGCATTTCTAATAACAAAACCCAAGACATGATATGCTCTGTTAGTTATTTCACAAAAGTGGATATTGAACCTCATTTTTGATTTAAATGTAACTCCAAGATCCTACATAACACTCACTATCTCCACTTGATAACCATTAATATAATAATCCTCAATAACACTATTAAATTTTCAAGAATATGAAACTACTGCACACTTTTTAACATTAAGAGTCATTTTTAAATCACTGAATCATTGAACTTAGATCATTCTGCAACTGCATTTTTAGTATTAGAGATTGTTTTAACAAGTTTAAAATTGTCAGCGTACATTAAGCTATTGCAACATTTAATATAGTCTGGCAAGTCATTAATAAATAAAATAGAGAGCAATGATCCAAGTTTGCTCCCCTGTGAGAAATTACCCATTTTTACTGTATTTTTCCTAACTGACAAATAAGATTTTTATACATTAAAAGCTTTTCTTGAGAGACCAAACTGTACCAGTTTATACAGAATATCCAACTGCTCCTTTGCTTCAATAGCTGTAGTAATACTTTCAGAGAAAACACAGAGATTTGTTACTGTTGATTTGTCACTTACAAAACCATGTTGGAATTTGCTAATTTTACTCGTTATTATTTTTATTTATTTAATTAACGGATATACCATTAAACATGCTTATACAGGGTGGTGAATCGTTAAACGGGCCATAGGAAACTCAATGGGAAATTCTAAATTGTTGAATTCCTGCTTCCCTAATTATTTTACACCAAAAGTCATGGGAAACTATTTGTAGAGGACTCAAATATGTATCGAAAACAACTGTTAAAATTGTTCTACGATTTAAACTTATTCCAAAATTTTGCTAAAATATAATACATTTTTCAGGCAACCCCTAAAAGTCAGGCTAGACGCCGTGAAAAAATGTGTATTATGTGTTGCATTTTGTCATATTGATGTTTCTGATATTTGACAATATTTAAATCAACTATATTATATTTATCAATGATTTAAATGACCAAAATTTTGTGATTTTTTTTTAAATATAAGTTGATTAAAAAATGTACTCAGTTGAGTAGAAAAGTTGTTATAATATATCATTTGTTATAGTTTTATGTTTAGAAATTATCATAAATTATTTTTAGGAATAAAGATCACAGTAACAGTTTAATGAATTAATTGAATTGTTGTATAACTTAACATGGAATTACATTTTAGTGTATTAGAATATCTTACGTTAAATAAAGATCCGGTAGTGGTAGGAAAAGGTTCGCGCTATTGCCTGAATACAACATTATGCGATTTTTCGTCAACTGAGTACATTTCATTATATTAATCGATTTATAGACAATATAATTTATTGTTCACAAAGTAATATTTGTTGTTCAGTAGTAGTAGTATTTAGTAAAATTCATTGTTTATAATTTAATCATAAAATAAAAAAATTGACAATTCAAATTGTCAAACATCTGACATCAATGTGATAAAAGACACATGTCATAATATATATTCTTGCATTATGTGTGGCCTAACTTTTTAGGGGTGGCCTGAAAAAATTTATTATATTTTTAAAAAAATTTGAAGTACATTTGATTGATAGAACGGTTTTAACAATTGTTTTTAATTCAGATTTTAGTCCTTTACAAATAGTTTCCCATGACTTTTGGTGTAAAATAATTAGGGAAGCAGCAATTCAACATTTTAAAATTTCCCATTGAGTTTCCTATGGCCCGTTTGACGATTCACCACCCGGTATAATATCATCATAAAAGATGCCTTAAAAAATTTTAGCAATACTATTTAACAGGCTCACCTATATCTATAAGGTCTATAATTTTGAATATCACTGTTTTTATCTTTTTTACATATTAGAGAAATTGTTGCCATTTTTAAGATATCTGGAAAATATTCCTGTTCAATCTACATATTAAACAAAAACGCCAGAGATTTAGCAAAGGGTTCTGCCAATCCCTTATAGATATAGGGTGGTATTTCATCAGGGCCTGTAGATCTATAGGGTTTACACTTTTTAATACTATTTACAAAATCCAATTCTGTGATATATTTAAAGGTAAATGAACCCCACTAAGGAATGTGAGAGTGACAATGTGTGCAGTCAGATGTATCATACACTGATGCAAAATATTTAGCAAAGACACTTGCAATATCAAAGGGTGTATTAAACTTGGAGTTGTTTAATGTAATTTCTATGGGAATTCCATTATTTTTATATTTTGACCTAAGGAAAGTCCAAAATTTGTTTGGGTCAGCAACTAGATAGTTTTCAAGTGAATGTTTGTATAATTTATACTCATATTTGGTTTGATTTTTAATATCAGTTCCTAAAAGCTGAAATTTAACACGCTTTGGGCTCCCTGAGGCTCTGTTCAAACACAAACGACAAATACTATTTTTCTTTTTAATTTAATGGACCAAATCTTGAGAGGACCAGTTCGGAAACCTGAATGTATTTCTAATATCCTGACATAAGAATCATGAGGAACAGTTATAACAAAAAATTAATGATAAAGATACCAATAGTTACCTTGAGCATAGTTATATCTATATCAAGTTTGTTTAGCAGTAAATTGTTGACTTCAATTAGTATCGACTATAAACATCCTGGGTTAACTGATAATTATATAAAAGGCCCTGTTTCAGGTAAAATTTAATTATGTTTCCTGGTAAAATTTGTCAATCTTCATTTCTTAATGTTGATTTAATTACGTACAATCCAAACTCATTATAATTTTATTAATACAGATAAGTCTTATATTGACGAAACTGTACTGATAAGGTTTTTTGAATGCGATGGTAGTGCGCGACGGGTTTGCTAATCACCTTTTAAGTGGTTTTCAGGTATTTATATAAGTTTATGGAACTGAACACCAACCAGCATTTGGTTAAGTGGTTAAGGAAAGTGTTAAGTAGTATTACTCATTTTATTCATTACGTTTTCTATCATTATGTGGTGTCTGTGGGATAATAATATTGGGGATTCTTTTAATGTTCCGGTAAAGAAGAAACATTTATCTGTAGATGCAAAGCAAATTGTAAAAGCTATATAAAGTACTTTACTTAAAAGATAACTTGACACAACTTTCGCTACGAGTGAAATATGTGATTTGACGAAAATACCTCTGACCACAGTAAAAAGAATTACATCAAATCCCATAGAAACAAGAAAAAAACTTACTGATTCCAGTTCCACCAAATGTATGGACGAGGCTGATAAGGACTTGATATGTCGAAAAGTCTATACCATGTTAGAAGAGCAACGCATACCTGCATTAAGAGCTCTGAAGCAACAGCTCAATGTTGACGAAACCCAAATAAGCTGTAGCCTCACCAGCTTATGGAACATTTTGAAAAGTATGGGCTTTCGATATCGTATAATTGACAAAAGACAAGTTATTATGGAATCTCATAGATGTCAAAAATGGCATTATGAGTATATAACTTGGGACTGACACGACAACGGGACATGGTTTGACACACATTCAACGCGACCTAAAGAATTTGCCTATCCTCCGGTAAATGTAAGACAAAAGCTTCGTCAAATAAAGGGAAAAGCATAATGATTTTACACAGAATATTAAAGACTCTGCGTCGACTGCCATGAAGGTACAACGGCAGAACTTTTTGAAGATCAGTTCAAAAATAATCTTATGCCAAACATTCCTCAGAATAGCGTTATAGTAATGGATAATGCAAGCTATTATGAAACGAATGATATGTATATTGAAGAATGTTACATCAAAGAAGAGCTTTTAGAAGTTTTAAAGGCATTTTCTATAAAAAAAAAGTATATGATATATAAATATATTGAATTCCGTTTTTAATAACAAAATAGAACCTAACCTAATCGAATCACATCTAAAAATTTAAATTAAAAAAGAAGTTAACCAATGTTATTATGTTTATTATTATATCCATAGTTTGTTCGATGGTGTGTAATTTGGAAAGTTTTTATAAGCGTGGCTTGCCTAAAATAGACATAGGGGTTAATTTTTTCCAACAATTGTCAATTTGTCCAATTTGTTCGGTCTTACATCAACCTAGGGTCAAATGGAATGTTCATTTTCCGGAGATCTGCTTGGATGTTATATCTCCATCGCATTCTGGGGCGTCCGAGTGGTTTTTTGCCTGTGGAAATCTCCTTCCATACCAGTTTTACAAGTCTCTCGTTATGAAGTCTGTGCAAGTGGCCTGCCCATCTTAGTCGTTTTGATTTAATTTCTTGGACAATGTCGGCGTCGTTGTAGAGTACTTTTAATTCTATATTGGTTCTGATCTTATACTGGTTTGTGGTGATGTCATGGTGAGGTCCGAAAAGTATTTTTCGTTCAAAGCGTCTGAGCTTTTCTTCGTTTGCTTTGTCCAAGTTTCGCATCCGTATGTTATTACAGGTCTGACGATGGATTTATAGATTTTGATCGTTGAACTTCTTGTGAGATTTTTTGATTTTATGAACTTATCCAGTGCGAATAGACAGCGGTTTTCAGATTGGATTCTGTCTTTTATTTCTTAAGTAACATCATTGTCAGCTGTGATTACGACCCCCAGATACTTAAAACTTTGCACTCTTTCGAAATTGAAGGCATCAATCGTCGTCACATTTTGTCCTATTCTGTCTCTTCGTGTCGTTCTATTTATACACATATATTTCGTCTTCTCTTCATTAATCTTCAGCCCTACTTCACTTGTTACTCCTTCCACCTTGTTGAAGATGTGTTTCGTGGATAGGATGAGTCATCCGATTAAGTTTCTTTGGTATTGAGAACTCCGCCATGGCATTCCATACTTGGCTTCTTTCTACGCTATCATATGCCTGTCGAAAGTCTATGAAAAGATTGTGAATGGGTCTGTTATACTCCCATCCCTTTTCAGGAGGGATTTTTGACGGGCATATCAGCTCTGATATAGATCTCTTCTTTGTGCTGTTCTTCCTAAATGATGTTTAGAAGGTACTAAAAGGAAAATACTCTTTCCATTCTTCAGTTAGTTCTTTACCGTCGATTATCGTACGGCCTTGATTGTCTCTCAGGGTATGGATGGAATTGATTCTATGTCCTTTTTTTCTCAGAGGAAATTGCTTTGTAGAATTCTCTGGTGTCTGGTTTGGGCCGGTCTCTCTCCATAGCTTCATATTTTTGTTGTTCGTAGTTTCTTTTCTTTGTGCGTATTATTTTTCTTGTTTCTTTTCGGTAGTCGTCAGATTTCTTTTTACTTTGGTCTGTTTCCAGTTGTATCCAGGTCTTCCTTACTGTTTGTCTTTTTTCCAGTTGTTTCCGACATTCCTCGTCATACCATGTTTTTGCCGTCTTCTACCTATTCCAAAAATCATGTCTGCTGTCTTGGTTATTATTTCGGCAGTCGTTTCCCATAGCTATTCTATATCATTGTATTCTCTTTCAGAGTTCAAGGTTTGTTCAAGTTGTTCTCTATAGTTTGGCTCTTTCTTTGTATTGTGCATTTCGTCCATGTTCCATTGTAGGTTTATTGTTGTTTTATTGTATTTATGGCTAGACATTCTGGATTTGACTTTTGCTCTGATTAAGTAATGATCTGTGTCTCCGTCTATTCCCCTTAGGCTTCTTACGTCTATAATATTGTTCCCATGACGGGCATCTACAATAATGTGGTCAATTGGGTTGCGCGTAATATGGTCGTTTGAGACCCAGGTTTGCTTATGGATGTCTGTATGTGGAAACATGGTTGACTTTATTAGCATATTATTAGCTGCTGCGTTTCTGTGAGTCTTAAGCAATTTTCGTTGGACATATTGTGGATGCTGTGTTTATCTATTGTGGAGCCTATTTTAGCATTAAAGTCCCCGCAGAGTATGCGCATATCTTGTTTGGGCATCGTATCTATCTCTCTTCCGTTGGTGCATGCGCTGAGATAATAGAAATGTTGTATCGTTCTCCCTTCATTCGTATGTAGCATATCCTTTCGTTTATAGGTTTGAAATTTAGTATATTCTGTACTAGGCTGTCTATAAAAGCCCGTTCCAAATTCATGACTTCCGTTTTTGTTACCGCTGAAGAAGATGGTGGATTTACTTATTTTTATATTTCCATCGTCTGGCCATCTTATTTCTTGGACTGCTGTTATATGCATTCCTATGTTTTCCAGTTATTCCACAGCATTTATAACAGCCCCAGGTCTGTACCAACTCTGGACATTCCCAATTCCGATATTCATAGTTCTTTTACATTGCATTTGTCGTTTTTTGTGTTTATCTGTCCGGTTCCGAGGCAAAGTTGCAGTTTTCATAATTAGTTTCTTTTTCCGAGGGTGCGTAGTTAACCTTCCGCTCAACCCTCCTCTTTTATCCGGCTGCGGTAAGGTGATTTCCGAGCTACTCAATCCACCCGTTCTTCAATCTACCCCAGGCAGAGGTAAAAGCCAGAAGTCAGAACCTATCAACCAATAAATTGTTTTTACAATAAGGAGCGAACCAAAATGTTTGGACTGAAAATATTCTCCATTTATATAATGAAAATCTAATCGTATACATTAAAATTAATAGATAATTATCATTTTAGGTTCCTTATATGAAGATTTACAAAATGACTCATTCAATGTATTCAAAGAAGACCAAGATATAAAAATGAGTAATTTAAGTGATGACCCTCTGAGATGCAAAGTTTGTTTGAAACAGTTTAAAAAGAAAAGTAGTGTAAAGACGCATATGCTTTTGCATACCGGAGAAAAGCCTTTCCAGTGCAAATTTTGTTTGAATTGGTTTAGACACAAGAATAATTTAAATAACCATATGCTAACGCATACAGGAGAAAAACTTTTCGAATGTGAAATATGTTCGAAACGGTTTCCAACAAAATATAAGTTAAAGTTGCATAACCATCTGCACACCGGAGACAAACCTTATGAATGTGATATTTGTTTCAGACGGTTTTCACGACCTACTCATGTAGCAGGTCACAAAATTAGTATGCACAGTAGTGACAAACCTTTCAAATGCGAAATTTGTTTCAAGCAGTTTTCAGAGATGAGCTTGTTAGAGAAACATGTTCGATTCCATACCGAAGCAAAACCTTATATATGTGAATATTGCTCCAAACACTTTTCGTCAAATTCTTCTTTAAAAGTGCATATGCGAACGCATACGGGGAATAAAGTGTTCACCTGTGAAATCTGCGCTAAAGAGTTGACTACAAATTCTCATCTAAAGGTGCACATGCGAAATCATACTGGAGAAAAACCGTACAAATGTGAAGTTTGTTCCAAGGAGTTTACGCAAATGGGACAATTAAGCAGGCACAGTTTATTGCATACCGGAGAAAGACCGTTCACTTGTGATGTTTGTTCGAAGAATTTTAGACAGAAAAGTGCTTTGAAAACTCATATGCAGTATCACACTGATGATAAACCTTTTGGTTGTGAAATTTGTACGAAGACGTTTACAACAAATTCTGTGTTAAAAAAGCATATGAGAATCCATACAGGAGAAAAACCTTATAAATGCGGGATTTGTTTTAAGCAATTTCGACAGTTGGGACAATTGAAGAGTCATAATTTATTGCATACTAGAGAAAAACCATTTAGTTGTGAAATTTGTTCGAAGAATTTTCGAGAGAAAAAATCTTTAACTAATCATTTGCAAAATCATGCTAAAGATAAGCCTTCTCCATCTGGTTGCTCCCCCTAACCAAAGTTGTCATCATTGCGTTTATTTAAAGCGTTTATCGCAAGAATATATCGGAATATATCGGACGTCCTAAGATGTGCTGATCAAGTATTAATAATAGGAAAAGTCAGACAATAATGTGTCGATCTACAGTAGATCTGCTGGATCTTTGCACATTGCTATCATTTTTATTATAGAAATAAACCAAAACATGTGAGCCAAACTTACGTCTGTTATAAGAATTAGAAAATGGCTAATATTACAATGAAAATTTTTATACTTATCTTTTTATTTATTTATTGCATTTAGAAAACTGGATATACATTTATGAACGTGATTTTAAAATTTTTGGAAACATAAAAGTTATCCAATAATATCTAAAGTAAATAAATGTTTAAAAACTGTAGTAATCAAAGTGTTTTCATTGCATGCAAGCAAATATATGAGTTATGATCTAAAAAACTGAATAAAAATCTACTTCTGCGCTCTCCATCACCTTGATCATTTTGTTTATTTAGTGTGGATCTACTCTACTTGATCTTGTTTGTGGTCAACGCTAAGTAATAAACTTGCTTCAAATCCTTTTGTAGAACCAACGTAATCAATTATAAAACGTTTACCATTATATCCTTCTGATTTACGTACACTTTTAACAATGTTATCTTGCCAGGAAATTGTTTTATTTCACTTTGAATAAACGCACGTTTCGTCCAAAAAAAGTCTATGGGATTCACACGATTATGATTTTCTAAATAATCAATAACGACTTATAAATAACATTAGTATCTTCATCTGATTCTTTGCTTTTAATTTTTCATTCTTCATTGTTTATATCATCTAGTTTACATTTCTTGGCCATTTTAACAAGACGAGATCTGTTGTGGTAAGGCATCTAAACGTAAAATTAAAATGTTCATTTATCCACAAAAAAAAGTAGATGAAAATATTCGAGAAAAGAGTCATTACTCTAAATATTTCAACAGTGACGATAACTACTACCATATATTTCTTTGAGAAAAGTGTCACATGTCGAAAAAAAAAACAAAAACGTAAGAATTATTTTATCAAACACTTTACGAATAAGGACATAACTCAAAATATTACTATAATTTTTTTAAAATGTAATACGAAACCTACTCACCACAAACGCCGAAAAAAGGACACTTCTCGAAATACAACAGTTTTCGTGATACATAGCAATACTTCCACTTCGAACGTCAGAGCATAACTGAAATGTCTCATTGTTCCGGAATAAAAATACTTATTTTAACAAGATAACTATGTATTTTTTTGAATTGTCTTTCGGATAAGCGATATGAAGGTCTTTTTCCAAGGTAGTGACATCACTCTTTTCGTCCACAACATGTGTAAATTTAATCCCTTGTGTAAACCTTGCGTTTTTATGTAAGTAAATTGGTTTAAAATTGCAAGTGGTCGTAGATCCCTTTAATATGACATCAACTATTATTTCATTTTCTAATGTAGTAGTCGTGGACAGATTCAAATGTAGTTATGAGGATCGAATCGCTTTGTAATGCCCTTTTGTCCGATTCTTCTCGATCGACGATGATAAATACAATAAAACGTTGAAATGGTGGAGTAAAAATTATGGTTTTATTGACAGCTACTAATTATTACACTATAGGTGTTGGTTAGGCAACTTTATATAATAGACTGTGTAAGCTCAAATCCCCAATTTATAATTTCACAAGTAATGTATACCTCAGCACAGAGGTTAATGCTTTTATCACATTAATAAACTTTGAATTAGGAACTTCCAATACAATTTAATCTAGGCCGTAATTGCAACACTTTAATTCAACACAACAATTGCAGAAAGTTCAATTAGAACAAATATATTATTCGACAATTTATTAACAGGTGAATGGACTTAAATTAATAAAATAAGGTAAGTGCGCCAAATATTGCCAAGCTCCTAATATTACCACTCCCAATGAATTTATTAATTTGTCCCTTGAATCACAGGTGGTCATGAAAGCTCAAATATCGAATTAAAACAACCACTCTAAAAACGTTATAGGTGGAATCAATTAGTATTGGTGTTCACGGCAAAGCAGTGTGTATTTCGTGCGATTTGTTTATGGAAACGTAAAAAAACTGTAATGATTGTTATAAGTTAGCTAATACCGACTATAGAAGGGTGAGAACGTTATCAGGTAGGTACATTCAAGTACTTTATTAATCCATATTGTGTGTAATTAATATAAAAGAGACTAAAACATAAGTCGCCATTTTTGTTCCGCTGTAGTAATGATTCTTATATTGCCACATGAGATAGTTCCTAATATTGCCATGGCAATATTTGGAACCTAACATGATAATTTACTTTTTATTAATAAAAACTTTCTTTTCAACAGAATACCGAATAGAAAAAGAGCCCTGTAGTCTAAGGCAAATCTCGTTGCGGCGTTAGAAGCAATAGGAACTGGAAGCAGTATAAGCCAAGCTTTATTACGATATGAAATACCTCGAACAACACTTGGACTACATTATTGCAGCCAAAATTAGGTTAAACGACTTGGAAGGAAAAATGTTTAAAATTTTGAACAAGAAAGAGATCTAGTTCTCAGAATTCATAAACTAGCAGAGGTGGGCATGCCAATAACTAGTAAAATAGTAAAAAGTGTATTTTCGTATGCGATGATAATGAAAATTCCTAATCCTTTTTCTGATACATCTAAATTGGCAGGAAGGAAATGGCTGAAATTATTCTTTGCAAGACATCCCGATGTGGCTAGAAGAAAGGCTCAGCAAATAAATCCAGCAAGAGCACAAAAAATGAATCCATTTATTGTAAAGGATTATTTTAAGAAATTGTAAGATGAGGCTGAGAAGAGAATGTAAGAGATTGAAGCAAATTGAAACAAATGAGGCGTTTATTTCGTGGCTAGGACATTTTGCAAAGTATAAGAATACAGGAACCACACTCCTGATATTCGATGGTGCAAAATCGCATCTGGACATAAGTATTGTTGAAGATTGCTCCAGGAACGTTCGATAGATGAGAATGATCTTAAAATCATAAAGAACCTTTATATGAATCAAGTGACATCTGTGAGAGTAGGACTGGAATCTACATCATATTTCTCAATCGAAAAAGGTGTACGACAGGGTTGTGTTCTGTCACCCCTCCTTTTTAATCTTTACTCCGAAACGATTTTCGATAGAGCCTTAAGTGACACTGAAGATGAAACCAAAATCAACGGACAGACTATTAGTAATCTTCGCTATGCTGATGATACAGTCATAATAGCTAATAGCCAAGAAGCGCTACAACGACTAATAGTTAAAATAAACACTGAAGGAGAACGACTGTTCTTAAAGATTAATATAGGTAATGGTGGTTAGTAGAACACGAATTATGCAATTAAATGAAAGAGTAAACAACAAGAACATCCAAAAGGTCCCAAAGTTCAGATATCTCAGTAGTTGGATAACTGAAGATCTAGATCCAGACATAGAGATACGTAGCAGGATTGAGTAAGCCACAACAGTATTTACTAACATGAGAACATTGCTAAGCAACAGCAGCCTCAATTTAACGCTTCGATATCGCTTTGTAAAATGTTACATTTACTCCATACTGCTATATGGTGTAGAAATCTGGACCATAAAGGCCAATGTGATGAACCGATTGGAGGCCTTTGAAATGTAGGTATTTAGAAGACTACTTAAAATTCCCTGGACAGATCACACAACAAATGTCGAAGTATTAAATCGAATGGGCAGAGAACGAGAATTGCTGCCAATAATAAAGAAAAACTGCTTAACTGGGTCATATATTTCGAAATTCCAAGTACGAGTTCTTAAAGCTTATTATGGAAGGGAAGATAGAAGGAAAACGAGGCATCGGAAGAAAGGAATACTCATGGCTTAAAATCATAAGGGATTGGACAAACCTCGATGCCCATGCACTTTTTAGATCCACGCAAGATCGAGAGGAGTATGCCAGAATTGTCGCCAACATCCTCTAATTGGATAGGGCACCATAAGAAGAAGAAGGGAAAAATTTAACCAGAATGCGATTTGGTGAAATATTTAGTAAAGTTTGGTTAAAAGAGATGACACCAGCTAACATCGTCTCTGGGTTCAAAGCAACTCTAATATTTCCTTTTAACCCAGACATCATACCTGAATCAGCATTTGCACCCAGTCTTATAACGCATATTAAAGAAAATGTGTTATACTCCATTCCACGAATATACGACTGTTTTAAGTTCGCTTTAAGATGTCGGTTTAAATGGTCCAATGTACTGAATTGTACAATAGTAAATTCTCCCCATTTTTAAAATACTGTTATGACATATATAAACCTTAGATTTAAATATGAAGTCATGATATAAATATAAAGTTAATAGTTTATAAAACAGTTGTAATTCAGATTTTGAAGTATATAATTACTATCATGGAGTTTATTTTTTCATTTCAATTATTTCATTGTAAACAAGTTGGTCTTTGAATTATGTGATTTAAACGAATTGTAACAATACTTAAGTGATCAAATAGTGTAAATTTCTTAGTCGAATATTCAATTAATATTAAAAAGACAAAAAAAAACTTACTTATTCACTTATTCTCTTAATCTTCTAAAACTATCATCAACGATCAGATTCACAGCCATAATCAGTCGGTGATATATGAAACTGTATATAAATTTTCGTTACTTTTTAATATCTGCAACGACTCGGTACTTTAACTATCAATAGCCGCCATGTTATACCCGTTACTTTCGGAACTTTTAAGAGTACATAAACTCAAAGCAAACAAATATTTAAAACTAACAAAGTGAAATATTAGATCCTTTTTCTGGATTGTGAACCATCGTTCTGCCAATTTCTTTTCATTTATTTTAAAAATAGTATATTTCTTTTTATTACAGTTATAATAACTAATAAAGTAATAAAATGTGTTATATCAAAGAAACCCGGCACGCCTCTTTGGTGTTTACATTTCACGGATTACTACAGTTCAAAAAATCAACAATACGTCTTCTTTCATATAGCGAGTCGTCTTATTCTGAATCAGATTTCAGTATTCATGATAGTACATCTGATGATATAAACAGCGAAGATGAAAATATGGTACCATTCACTCCCGAAAAAGTTCCAGAACCAGACACTTCTTTTAAAAGTATGGGCTTACTAATTTCGCCCCTAATCAAGATAACTGCTACAAAGCGAAAACCAGCAATTAATAGCAAAGCTCAAGAAATTACAAAGGATTTATTTTCCACAGCGATAGAAAAACCACCCAAAGGTAAAAGTAACAAAGAACCTTCCAAACAACAAGAAAAATCAAAAAACAAAGAACAGAAAGAAAAGAAAATAAATAAACATCAAAAAGAACAA